CCAACGGCACTATTTTTCTCATCAAGGGGAAAGCGTTGTCGCTTATCGGTTAATTAACAGTGTAAATTGAAACATATTCACACATGACCCACCCTTAATGTAGTGCACAATTTTCTCTGGCCCACCATTCTTTGCAAGCATGAAAATGGTACCCCCCTTTTTCTCCAGCCCAACCCATAATTTATGACTGGTCCCTTATACCCCTGTGTATAAGATCTTGAGGTGAGCACATATAAATATGCGGATGACTGCACACAAAGCGAATGCATCATGAAGGGAGAGTGTAGCAACATGCAGAAAGTCTTAGACTCCGTTCAGAACTGGTCAAACGCTAATAAAATGAAGTTGAATGCAAAGAAAACGAAAGATATGTGGATTTGCGTTGGGAAATCTATCCCACAGCGTCCCAATCTTTATATCGAGGATGTTATGATCGAAAGAGTTAATTCATTCAAGTTACTTGGTGTTAGCTGTCAAAGTAACATGAAATGGCATTCTCATACTAAAGAAATTACCCGTAAGGGAAACAGGAGACTGTGCCATCTAAGGCAGTGCAGGAAGGCTCACCTTCCTACTGAAGTAGGATTGGCAACCTACTGCACCAAAATTCGTCCACTGCTTGAATATGCCGCACCAGTTTGGGGTGGCCTACCTCACTATTTAGTGAACGACCTTGAGCGTATTCAAAGGAGAAGCTACATATGATTGGTTTATCGGTCGATACACTTCTCCCGATTAGTGAGAGAAGAGATAAGCTAACTCTTCGAGAAATGGAGGCAATTACTTAGGACGTAAACCATCCCTGTCATCACCTTGTCCCTATCGTACAGAAGCATGACTATTCCACTAGAACTAAAGAAAGAGGTTCTAATGTAGGTCGCATTATTTCCACAACCGAAAGACATAAATCATGGTTTATGCCTCGTGCAGTTAAACTTTTTAATAATAAACTTTAAATTACTACTGCATGTAATAGACGGTTGTGCAATTTTAGGCTGAATGTAGGTTGCATTATTCTCTGAACTGAAGGACATAATCGTAGTCTGTGTCTTTGGCAACTGAACCTTTTTAAAAATACAAATTTTTATTGTAATATTATAGATGGTTTTATAATGTTTATGAATTTGTAAGTCCACTGTATTTTTTTACTTGAGGTGTATTATTATTAAAGCTTTAAATCAGTTCAACATCCTGCGATGACGAATAAATAAGATAAAATACCTAGGTAATCACCAGTTTCGGGCAAATAAACATGCATGATCAGCTAAAATGTGAAGCTTACCCCCGGTGTGAGTTCAACATCCAGCCGGCAATGACGTTTGCAAAAGGAAAACACATTTGTTGTACACACTGTTATTAACAAACTGGATAAATTAAATTTAGAAACGTGAATTGAGGTTATATATATGATAGTCTGGAATGACTGTTGGTGATGAATGAACGTTGGGCGATGGGAGCCGTCTCAACGTAGAAACCTGTGTCCGAGATAAAGGATTCCCTGAAACACTCTTTAATCCAGATATGTCCCGTGTACGAAATAACGATATACTTAATGCTATGAATTAAACAAGCCAGCACCAGTTAACGTACAAATATCAGTCGAATCCCAAATAGAATAATAGCCTTATTATAGTATCAACTAATGCAGCATCATCTGTAAAGAACGTTATACGCTGATTTATCATCGCTTATTTCGCCCAGCAAATTTCTGAGTGCGATAGGGTAAAGACGAATAAAATGCTGCATGGGCCAATTTGATGCATTTTGTACGATCAATACTCCAATAGAGTCAAACAGTACCGTTCGAAAGGTTGCTTCTGATTGGCTCTCGAGCTGAGTTCGGTGGTCGTGGTGGTCGGCCAATGATATTGCCATCAATATAACTTATTAATTATTGGAGTTGCATTGTTAGAGCCGACACCAACTGAGTTTAATTATTATCTATTCAGGATGTAATAGGGTGTTATAATTGAGAACAGATAAGATTAAGATAAGATTGCATATAACTATGTATAAGGTCTATTTAGGTTGTGCATATAGGGTGGCCCGTGGCCTAATATTATACATGGTATTATAATAAGGTATTATACATGGCATATGATTAACAATTTACTCATATGGTAAATCCAAAGGTTGAGCTCATAGTGATTTGATTACCAATACAATGCCTCTCTCTTCTGCAGAGGCTTAGATTGAAGCAGTATTGAATTAAAGTTTAATTAAATTAATGCGCTGGACGGTAATGCCATAGACTGTATTGCGCCAGACGGTAATATATAATAAGAAATGGTATTACCGTCTAATATAGCGCATTCGTACTTGAATTGATAGTGCATTCATATTTTATTTTATTTTATTTTCAACTGAACCGTACCTTACCGAAAGGTACTGGTGAGCATGCGCAGATTGAAAAGAGGTTAATAAATCCACGTACTTCCGGGTGTATTCGCGCATCAAAATAAAAAGGCCGTCGCAAGTCAACTCGTCGGCACACTACGGAAGTATTAGCAAATTAACTTTCACTAAATTTTGAAATTTAAAAATGTTTTTGATACGTTTCGTTTCGGTACGGTACGGTACGCTTGAAGTGGAAAACTGGCTCTAGTACTGTTTATACGTCAAATTTCGATCGCGTCGAATGCAATTCAAACAACAAGCTTAATGAGGTTTATCATCTAGTGTCTTAATTGCATTCGAAGCGACCAAAATTCGACGTACACTGTAAAAACTGATTGGTCGAAATGACCAAAAACAATTGGTCACCTGATTGGGCATCTGAGAGAACCAATTAAAAATGGTCGTTTTAACCAATAAAATTAACCATTAATTAATTGGTCATTTCAACCAATAATAATTGGTTAATATAACCAAATATTTTTGGTTGTTTTGACCAATTAATAAAATGGTTAATTTTATTGGTTAAAACGACCATTTTTAATTGGTTCTCTCAGATGCATCCAGGTGACCAATTTTTTTTGGTCATTTCGACCATTTTTTTTGGTCATTTCGACCAATTTAATGTCACAACCTATACACTGCATTAAAATGAAGAAAATTTGTGAGTCTTACATCACTGAACATGTATATATTATATACATGGAATTTAATAAAAAATATATCATTACAATATAATAAGACAATTAAATAAACTAGAGTTACCGGTACCTTAGAACTATGTGAGAGCAATTGCAAAGGAATACAATTACAATTGCTGTGTTGAGTGGTTATATTACTACCTCAAAAAACAAACAAGCAGAAACTCAACATTTCGAGCGAAGGGTCTTTGCTCAAAACATCGAGTTTCTGTTTGCTTTTTTTTCAGGTAGTAATATAACCACTCAGCACAGAAATTTCACATTGGTACTACCCACGCTGGTACTGGTATACAGACAGTTTTAATACAATTACAAGCCTGCCAGCATGAATTGAACCTGCAGCCCTGCAATTCTACTGCAGCCCTCTGACTTAAAGAGTCCTTTTGCCAAGATGTAACTTTCTGTATAATTATACCATGATGGTGGTGTCACTGGTAGTATATTAAATAAACTGGGATGACACTAATATTGTATAAATGAACTCTTGGTTAGGTTGATGGATTCTTGGCGCTTGGACTCTCAGGGCTTGATGGACTCTTGGCTGTTAAGGAACTGTTCAGAATCACAGGGCAACAGGTTCCATTCCCGGCACAGTACTTATTACATAGTTATTGTTCAAAATTTCCATCCACAGAAATTTGGCTTTAACCCATTGAGTGGCAGCACTCTCTCCTTCATGAGTAAAATTGTCTGGCATTAGACAGAAAAAATAAGGTAGAGCGCATTGCCACATAAAAGCTAGGTTAACATTCTCTTCAATGTAGAATATTTACAAGTTAGTATAATATACCTGTACTGCATGTAGTGTCACTGCTCAATCAAGCATGTCATACAAGTCCATTAGTTAAAATTTAAAAGTACAAGCTTCATACCACAAGTCAGCAACTCCATTCCTTGTCAGGTTTGTTAATCCATAAACATACTCTCCAGCAAAAGAATAACATTTTCCAAATAGACTATACAGTACTTAAAATGCCATTAATGATTATATATTATATTGCCACTTGTTTAGACAACTTGCCTTCTCCTGGGAAGCTTTTATTAATAACTTTTCATTCAGCATCAGGATATATAATGAATCCATATTAAGTACAATCTCTATTAAGAAAAAAATACATATTAAGGTTGATATATAATAGTAGCAAATTATTGATTGATTGACAATGAATTTCCTATTTTTGATTAGTGTACAAAGCAAGAAATACAAAATTCAAATGCTTTCACTTGACATGTTTAATGTAAGGCTAGCATGCAATTGAAGTAACATCTGCATCCAATACAACTATTCTCACTGGTAAAAGACTGTTTAAAATACTGGTGCATAAGAACTGTTTTTTCCAATATTACTAATTGAAAAATATCATTTTATATAATCCAGCGAGGTACATTTAGGGGCTGTTTATATGAGGTGATGGCACCTGTGTGCCTGAGCTGGCCCAGTTTTGGTGAGATCCAGACTTTGTTATTATATTCTATATATTTCAACTTGTGTTTTACTTTATAATATAGAACTGAGCTGGTCTTTTTTAGGAAGATGGGGACTTTGGTGGCAAAGCTGTTATATGCACTTGCCGTTCACCTCTAAGGCTGCAGGTTCAAGTCTCAGTGAGAACTTTCTCAATGCGACTCAAACCCAGTCCTCATGCGAAGAGTAAAAGTCAACACTCTGTCGAAAGTCATGGGTTTTCTCCAGGTACTCTGGTTTCCTCCTACAGGGAAAGTTGACAGGGTGGGTGATGTAAAAGAGCCAACAGTAATTGGCACATGCTGTTGTGGTGACACCTAGGTGGCAAAGCTAAATAAATAAACTTAAGATACTGCCTCGATTGACCCAAAAAGTTGCTAATGCCAAACTAAGATTTTCCATATAAACTATATACAATGACGCAGGATTTGGCACAGTATTAATGCTTTGTTTAGGCATAATGTAATCTTCTAAATGACATTTCCCAATCAATTTGAATAATTAACCCATTAAGCTGTAGAGTTGGAGTTTCCCCATTGACGAGTAAAATCATTTGGCCAGAGGTGTAACTTAACACTTGCCTGGGGCAAGTGAATATCATCATGGGCAAGTAAACACTTTATCTTGTTACCCGATTGGGCAAGTTGCCTTGCCACTATTCATTGTCAGATATATTTTGTTTTATAGTGCACGGACTTGGTTCAAATTTCGTTTTTTGCGCACCAAAGCTATATCTGAGGCAGTATAACATAGCCATATAGTGCATTGGGAGAACAGGTTGACATGTTGTCCCCTTAATTTATACCCCCTACCTAGGTACCCCAAGTGGCCATTGTCTGATGGCAAGTGAATTTTATTCAGAGCAACTAATTTTTATGACCAACTTGCCCTGAGGGCAAGTGGTCAAAAAAGTAAAGTTACACCACTGCTGGCAGTAGACAAGTAAATAAAATAAGTAGGTTGCACTAGGGCACATTGCGGTTCAACAGGTTAACTAGAGACATTGTCAGATTTTTTTATTATTATTAATGGTTTATTATAAAAATCGTCGCGCTCGATGAAAGCGAATTGCGAAATTATTTACAAACTTTAGTTAAAAGTATTAAAAAGTACCTTGTGTTACTGGCATTATATTACAACAATAGTTTACTGATCTATGAATTAATATCGAAAGAACTTTTAAATTTACAAAATTTACAAAATTTATAAATTATGTGATTGAATACACATAGTAGGAAAAAAACTTTTCTTAAAGCGCTCCGTCTTACAAGGAAACAGTGTTAATCTATTTCCGTACCTTAAATTACAATTGTGTCCATTGGCCCGAGAAGGTGGTATTAAATGATTAAGGCGTGAATCAGGCTGTCTGATTTTGTCAAAAGTTTTTATGCACAAACCATCACGTCTTGCGCGTAATGTCGAACATTTAGCTTGGTCCAGAGCAGCGTCATAGCTTAATGTGGGGTAGATTATTCGCATTGTGCGCTTCTAGACCCGTTCAATTTTATCTGACAAGTTAATGGTCAATGATGAATGCCATACCGGACAGCAGTACTCAAGCAGGGATCTAATATATAAGTGCAAAATGTACTCGTAGTCAATGAAACGGTGAAACTCCACTGCGCTTGAGAGCTCGTAAGATGTGTAGTCTTTTTGATGCTTTGGTTACTATCTCACTGATATGCAAATCCCACTTCAGATTATTCTGGATCGTTAAACCTAATACTTTGTGGGATTCTATTCTTTCAAGACTAATGGTTTCAACAACTAAGGTGGGTGGTGGCTGCTCAATATCTCGTCGAAAGGAGACAATCATCTCTTTACACTTTTTGGGGTTCAATTTCATATTATTGGTACTTTTCCAATTACCAATTGCGTCCAATTCGTTTTGTAGTATAGATACCTCCCTTGTTGGAACAATCTCAGATATCGTCACGTCGTCTACGTACTTCCAATTACTGGAACGCGGGGATACTATTTTCAAATCATTAATCATTATGACAAAAAGGATTGGACCCAATTTGGTACCCTGTGGAACCCCAGCACTAGTTGAAAGCCATCGGGACACGCACTGTCCCAGCTTAACACACTGGCGGCGATTTGAAAGGAAGCTACAAATCCAAGGGATTATTGAACGGCGCACTCCCAAATCGATCAATTTTGTTATAACAATATTGTGGTCTATTCTATCGAAAGCTTTGCTAAAGTCCAGAAAGCAAGCTCTAAGGTAATGACCTGGGTTGTCCATTTTAGAAAGCCAGTTGTGGATAAGATCTAGAAGGCAAAGGGTGGTAGATGTTCCCTTCAGGCTGCCATACTGACGATTATCGATTTACCTATGTCCTCAACCATCCAACTAACCACAAAGTCTTCGAGTACTTTCGATAACACAGGGGTAAGTGCGATGGGGCGGGTATCGCTCTCAACCTGGGTTTGTTTCGCTTTAGGAATGGGTATGATGGTAGAATCTTTCCATAAAACAGGTACTAGTCCAGAGGACAAAGATGTATTAAATATTGATGTAACTGGCTCAGCAAGTTCGTAGGCGAACTCTTTTAAAATTCGTGATGGAATACTGTCCGTGCCCATAGCCTTATTAGTCTGAAG